CCCTCCCCCTCCTCCCTCCCCCCCCCGCGACCCCCCACAAAACCAATTTTTTTTTCTTTTGTGCAGTTTAGAAACGACGCAAATAACAGCCAAATTCACAAAAATGCTCCGGATCCCTTGGTCTGCTTGTCTAAGAGCTATGCTCCCTGCATGTCTGTCGGTCTATTGGATTGTCTTTTGCCTTTCTGTGTATGTCTCTCCATGAAGGTCTGTCCCTCTGCATGTATGTGTCTGTCCCTGCTTTTCTGCATCTCTCCTCCACTGTCGATGTGCTTGGCACCAGACATGCACACAGCACCCACGCATCCCGAGGTGTCTTCTGTCCCCTGGAGCCAGATGCCCACACCGGACGGTACAAGTCCCCTGTCTCCGAGTTGATATAGGGTTCCTGTCTACTCCCTACTCCTGCGCTGGTCCATATATAAGGTACGTAAATGCACTCACGGGCGACGCCTTGTCCTTCGAGCGGAACGGCGAGTGCCTTGGCCAAGTTGGCTCGATGACCCGCATGCGAGCCTACGTAGTGGTAGAGCAGGTACCCCTGAACCCTACACCCTAAATCCTAAACCCCAATGGAACCTGTAGCCTTTTTGGGGTACTATGACCCCGAAAAGATCCCTTGAGCTAACGCTGCATTCGTGGGTGAGGTGGTGTGTGGGTCCTGACTGCTCGGCTCCGGTTGGTGGTGCCACCCCCGTCGGTGTCTTGATGACCATGCTGGAGGCCTCCACGGGTTTAGGGTTTAGGGATTATAGGTTTCTGTGGTGTCGGCGAGTCGGCAGTTCTCAGATTTCCAGGTCCATAATGTCACCAACTTCGACGGGCACTTCGAGGGAAAGGGTGTCCCTTCCATGGAGGAAGGGGGATGCCCGGCAAGATTGACGGTTTGCTTTCCATTGCAGTTGCTGAAAGTCGCAGAGCCAAGGAATGGACGACCTGGCGAAGATGCTCAAGGTGCCTTGGAACTCTGAGAAAGCATAGCAGGCCCTAACCCCCCAGGTACCTACTATATAGGGTACTAGAGCCCCTAGGGCCCTATATAGTAGTACTATATAGGGTACTAGAGCCCCTATAGGGCCCTATATAGTAGGTACCTGGGGATTTAGGGAGGGTTTAGGGCTCAGCATTTCTCGAAGGGGAGCCGTGCTCAGGCGATCAAGCCGCCGAAGAGGCCAGCGCAGCCGGCCAAGCCCAGGCTACAGGCCCTTGCTCCGCTCATTTGCAGTGCATGCTATGGGTTACAGCATGTTACAGCCGCATCACGTGAAGATTGTTAGAGCACGGTGCTGATATGCATGATGAACATCGTGGGCATGGCTGCCATGTGTGCTATTATATAATATGTGGATGGGGGAGAAACTGCTGCGGCAATCTAAGACTGTCTCGTTGATGAGGAGTTCAAAGCAGAGATGCCCAAGTACGCAGACGAGTGCCTTGACTACGGCGAATTGTGGAACAAGCTCACCGAGACACACACCAACGCGGACAAGGCACATCGGAGCTGCAAGGGGTGGATTATCTGCGTTTTGGGAGTATATTAGAGCATAATTAACTTCAATGAAGGAACAGAGAAGACGCTTCTGGTATTCCTCAACCCTATAAACCCTGAACCTATAACACGGTGTTTTAAACCCTAAACCTATAGCACAGTGTACTTGCTCAGGAGGAGGTCGTGGAGGAGTCGAAGCTCGAGCCTGATGTCGGCACCGTCGATGCAGAGCTGCCAGACGTCCACCCCTGCCACCGGGTTCTGGTAAGTACTTTCTTGCGTTTTGGGACATTTGGGACCTGATCCTTACAAGAGCCAACACTTTCTTGCGGTTTTGGGACATTTGGGACCTGATCCTTAAAGGAATGGGTATGAAATCGAAGCCCAGGCCAGATAATGCAGGAAACCGGCTTTGGCATCTTTGGCAGGCCAGGGCCAGTGCTTGTATTTCATTAGGGTTTAGGGTTTTGGTTTTGGGTTTAAGGCCAGGGCCTTTTAAGCAGCAGTGAGCAGTCAAAGCCAGTGTTTGCCTGTCAGGCTAGGGAAGGGTGATGGCAAGCAGTCGCCTCCCAACCTTTTGTACAAGGTGCGGTGCCCGGCTTGAGGTAACTCATGCTTGGATGCAGAAAAGAAGAACAGTGGTTCCTCATGTGGCAAGGATTGGATCCAGTGCATGCAAGGGGACATCAATCGCGATATGCTCTCCGGCTACATGCAGTTCGGCAACAGCCTCTACCACAGCATCGCCAATCAGCTGCACGATCATGCGGTGTCAAGGAGTTGCCTTTTCTTTAAGCGTTGCGTACTGTGGGGATGCTGTTATAGCATGCACCGAACCTAAGTCTTCCAAGTCTGCCACAGCCTCCATATTATCATGCGGGGCCATTGACCAGCGGTTGCGATCCATCTCTTTTATCTCTGGAGTTGACGATAGGCCAACGTCGTCCATTCCGCGGTGAAGCGTCTTGGCATCATAAGGGTTATACCCGTCAAATTAGGTTTGCAAATTTTGAGAGCCTGAAGATGTTGCAGGGAATGCGTAATGAAGGGCTGATTGGCTACGTTATCGCAAGATCATTACTGAATCATGACTGGCCATGCACTGGTTAAAGCACCACAGGCTGGTCTGTGCTGCCATTCCCACCGTTGTTGCGGCCCCATTGGGCGTCGGTGTCGAGGCGCGCATGCTCTTTTTTGCCCTGCAGGCCTTGTCGAATGTCGCCATCCCTGCTCTCTCGCTTGCGCTTTTCCCTCCCCCCCTGTCTGACTCCCTTCTAAATCACTCCAGCCTCTGTGCGGATTGCCCAAAGCTTGACGTGTTGACCGGGTCCGCATATACAGCGGCGCCTGACCCGCCAGCCCCAGCCGCCGAGAATCTGTGCCGAAGTTACAGACCTTGTGCGATGCTCGGCGGCAGCGACGCATGGGTAAGAACTGTAGTTGCACCTCGTGGTCAGCCTTCATGCAGAAGAGCTGCAGGAACAATAGTCGACCTTCCCTTTGACATCTCCAAGCAAGCAGTGGACCTCGCAATTGAGAGGGAAGGATACCTGGCCTGCAACCCCTACCAGGTGGGCGGTCCAGACACTGTAGTGTGCAGTAAATGGGCTAGGCAAGACTGGCCAGATCTGGCCAGGCTGGCTTTGCACGGCTCTTCTGTGACATCCACTGTGTGCGTGATGCCGTCATCCGTGGCGACCGCACAATTCTGCGGAACTTGGAACAGGTGCACAGGGGCGGGATTAGCACCTGAAGTCTCCACTACCTGATCGGATCCTAAGTATGTCATCGTTTAAACAGAAGGGAACTACGATGGGGAGTATAGGTACGGGTGCGAGCAGGGGCCACACCATGTCATCTCATGGTTGAGGCCACCAAGATCTCCAATGAGAACATGAGGAAGATGGTGGAGTGGTCCACGGAAGCAACAAGGACGGAGACAGAATACCTGGACAAGAAGATTGACCACTCTCTCAAGATCAACACCATCTACTTGCACCACATTGCCAAGAACACGCAGCCCAAGGAAGAGGAGCGAAAAGCAAAGCCTCAAAACCGCAAACTGCCAGCCTCACGGTGTGTCTAAGCCCGAAGCTGCCCTTAACCCTATATATATATATATCCCTACATTAAAACCCGAAGGAGCTCTTGCAGAACGCTGTGACTGCCACGGGATCCATGCTCGCTGAGCTCAAGGGCTTTGCCGAGATCTCCTCCTTGGGCGTCTCCCGCGTTGCTGCCGGCGATGCTCTGACAAGGCCTTTGAATGCGCAAAAAGGCTAACAAGAGTACGAATATAATGGTCAAGAAGATCGAATGTTTTGGAAATCCCCCACAGTTGTTAATGGAAGGGGGGTCCTATGTGCAGGCCCAAGGGACCACTTCCAATATCGGGGTTGGGTGATCTAGTGCCCAGAATCGAGATCCAATTATGCACTGGGGGGGGTCAGCGCAACTCACTTCCAGTTATTGGGGTTCGGGGTTGCTAATTCAATATATATATCCGGGAAATGTGAAATAGTGTGCACTGGGGCGAGACAGGGAGTGGATCACAGCGGGACCAGTCGTGCATGCAAAGATGCGGGGGGACCCTGGATTCTCATCTGGCAATGTACTGTGGGCCGATATATTAAAATAAATATATGCAGTCTCCAGGAGGATTGGGCACAGGGCTGACTAGAGGTCCTGCGGTTTTGTGTCGTTTTTTTCCTTGTCCGCAAACATGCATGCACATAGAGACACATGCACACACCTTTGGACTGTGCAGACGCGGCCGTGCCTCGCAGGCATTTTGCCTCGGGATCGAGGGGCATGACATGGCATGACAGGTGCTTAGGAGTTCAGGCTAGGGCACATAATATTGGCATAGCCGCATTGCTTGAAGCCACTAGGACGGCAGGGGGAAGGGGTTGTAAAGCCAGCTTGTCGGCGTTGGGTTTTTTTTTTAAACTTACCAGATCGAGAGCCACTAGGACGGCACGGGGGATTGGGTAAGCCACTTTGACGGCATGTGGGTTTATCTTATTAGATCTTACTAGCAAGCCACAATGTCGGCATGGGGGACTAGGTAGTAAGCCACTCTCACGGCAGTGGGATATATATAATTTAAGCCCGTAGCCTTAAGATTGAAGCGGTGAGTAAGCATGCCACGACTGGTGCCCAAACATTCGGCGCCGAGCGATGCTCCTGCCTGCACAGATCCTCCTTCGGAATGCGCCGGGTCCTCACAATCACGGGCTGGTTTTGGGGTTGTGATTTAGCTTTTGTCCGCCAGGCCGTCCACGGCTGCTGCGAGCGGGTGCTGGATCCCTTATGGGACACCAGGTCTCGCATTTGGAGGGCGAGGCCGTCTTCTGTTTGTCGCCTTAAGCTCTGGCTCTCATTTCATGTCATGCCAGGTGTGCAGCTCTATTCGCTGACGAACAGGGGCGACTTTGCAGAGCATCACATCATGAGTTCTGGTCGTCGGTGTCCCGGCCTTTGGGTTTGCTGCCATCGAAAAGGAACTCAGCCCCGTCCCCGAGGCCCGGGGGACAGATCCCTTGGATGAAGACCACACGGCCTCCAGCTCCTGCTCTGGTTCAGCGAGCTCATGATCAGCTGAAGGACTCGTGGAAACACTTGCATGGGTCCGGGTTGTTAGGTCTTGTTGCACTCCAGGAGCAGACGGCGACATCTTCACTGCGGCAGGCCAGGAAACTATCTTGTTCATGTGGTTGAAG